AATAGAATAGAATAGAATAGAATAGAATAGAATAGAATAGAATAGAAACAGAACAGAAAGGAAAACACAATTAGAAGGGACCTTGGAGGTCTTCTAGTCCAACCCCCTGCTTAGGCAAGAAACCCTATACCATCTCAGACAAATGGTTGTCCAATCTCTTCTTAAAAACTTCCAGTGTTGGAGCATTTACAACTTCTGGAGGCAAGTAGTTCCACTGATTAATTGTTCTAAGTATCAGGACATTTCTCTTTGGTTTTAGGCTGCTTCTCTCCTTGCTTAGTTTCCCTCCATTGCTTCTTGTCCTGCCCTCAGGGGCTTTGGATTATGCTCCATGGCTCAAGCGTTTCAACATCATTTTACTTCAAAGGGGGCTGTTGGAGGCAGCTCTTTCTCTTAACCAACTTTGGCCGCTCATCGAATTCTCAGTTATTTGATCAGGCAGAAGGGTACGGGATCTTGCTGCCTGCGGGAAGAAATGTGCAGGGAAACCAAAGAAGTTCGTGGGACAAAAAAAAAAAAAAAGGTCCTTCTAACTTATTGTGAAACAACAGTAATCTCTGCAGGGAGAAACGCACGTAGCTGAAAAGCAAGTTTGCTTAGAAACCCCTCTTGCAATTTAGAGAAGGAGTTCTTTTGGCAAGCAAAGGGAGCAGGGCGGTGGTGCGCCAAGCTCTCCAGCTTCACGGCGGCCACACCTGCTCGTGAGAGAGGCTGGGGCTTGGCAGGGAAGGGAAGAGGCCAGCTCAGTGCTTCTCTGCTTGGCTGGACAAGGGCTCCGGCACTCAAGGCTATGCAGGAGGCAAGCTTGGACAGTTTGGGACTGTCATGCCCCTGTTGGAATCTGATTTAGAGGGGGAGGCTGACAGGGAGTGGGAGTGTGGCTCCATTGGCTGTGGAAGAAACTGGGCAAGGGCATAGTCCGGCTGGGCAGAGCAGGGAAGAGGCAGAACAAGGGAGAGGGAATTCAGAAGATCCAGACCCACTCCCTTTTCATCCTAGGGCATGCAGGGAGGAATGGAGAAGGGAGCAATGTGAGTTGCGTGGCTTACGGGGGAGGAAAGGGCCCTGATTCCCTTCATTAGCTGCAGCTGGGAACATAGTGTTTAAAAAGGGAAGCTGAGCACAGCAAGTTGTTGGGAGCAAATCATGAATTATCTGGTATCGTTGAGGCTTATCTGTGTTCCTGGTGTCTTCCCAACTGTGTGTGTTTTGCTGTCCTTTCAAGTCTGCAATTCTTTCTCTTGCCCTGTAAAGTTAATTACTGCAGCGTGGTTTGTTTGGATTTTTAGTTACAGTTTGTATGTACTTTGTTTTCGGACTGAATTTCCTCCACTTAAAGACTGTTCCTGGGAGAGTGTTTCTCCAGCCGAAGGTAACCTGGAGATTGGGAGCAAAGTTGGAGATAATAAAGGGACTCTTCTTGCTTATTTGACTATGTTGCCTTTGTGCCACGCCCCGGCTCATCACAGGGACTCTCAGGCATGGCACCAAAGTAGCATGTTGCAGCGACTCTGCGGTCATTCGTAAGTGCAAACCTGTGAAGCTGGAACATACGTTAACTTTGAGACCCATAAGTACTTTTGGCAGAGATGTCGTAACTTTGAACATTCGCTAAGGGAATGTTTGTAACTTGAGGATTACCTGTCCTGTCTTATGCCTAAGGATATTTACTCATGTGGTATGGCTCTATTACTATTATTATCCTTCTCATCTTTTCTATTACCTTTTCTTATTGGTATCATGATTATGATTATGATTACTCTGTTGCTTTGCATGTACACTGAAAACTCCTGCACAGGAGACGAATTCCTTGTGCATCTAATCACACCTGGCCAAATATTCTACTCTATAGCTGTCAACCAAAACAATGCTCCATACAATCATCTAATCATAACACAGTTAAATTCTGGAGTACACATTGAATGCATCCAGGTGCTGCGAAGACCTGCACCTTGGCTGTACTGCTTGAATACGATCAAATCGACATCAGTGAGTGGCCAAGGACGGCAGTCATTTGCATTTTGGACATGACTACTTTTGTCTGAGACCATGCATTTGTGTGCTGTTGACATAAAATGCAATGGAGGTGCATATAACTGCTTTGTCCTTTGCAAATACAGCCCATCCGTGCTCTCCATTAAAGCAGGCATCTTCTTTGAGTGCTGCCTTAAGAGCCATCTTAATGAGGTGTCTCATCAAAGCAGCTGCCGCTTTTCGGGTTGTAGGGAAGGCTGGGGGGAAAAAAGAGGAGCTGCTTTAATGCCAGGCAGGGAAGAGTTGTGCTCAGGTGAAGCTTTTCTTCCAAGCATTTTAAAAGCACACAATCTATAGGTTACACACATATGGCCTCTCTCATTAATGGTGGATGTATTGAACAGGAGCGCCATCTGGTGGGGATTTCTGTTTAGGCCACACAACCTATGAATACTGTAGTGTAATAGACTTTGCCGTTCCCCCATTTCTCCCACACAATATTGCTCGTTGCATTTTTGGGGGAGTTATGTAAAAACAGTCAGGATTTTTATGCACTATATGAAATGTAATTGTGGACATATGACATTAACACTCTGTTCAAGTGGTATGTTGTAAACATATTTTCAGACAAGCAACCAGATTCCATCATTCCCTACGAAGTAACCGATTTAACACAGAGAGAGACACAAAAATAAAACAACTGAGTTCTTCCATCAGGAATCCAGAATAATATATTTTCAAGAATTGGTGGATTAATATACATGAGTTTCTGATTACACGCTTAGAGAAATACAGTTTTTTTAAAAAAAGTATTTAAAATGTGGCTGACATGTTGGAATACCATTTGTGTTTTTTGAAGGAACTGTAATAAGATGCACTGTTTATACCTTTTGGATTCCTCACAAAGTTATCTTGCAACCATTACTGTAATTATTTCTTGCATAGCATTGCCCTTTCATCTCTCTTACTGGATCCCATGGTAAAATAACTGCCATCAATCTTTCTAAATTAAAAGCCAGCCTTTTGAGGTAGGCTAGTTTCAAAACTGGATAAATCCCCCAAATACTGGGGGGGAAGAAAAGATTAAATCTCAGGTCTACCCAGTCCAAGGATCACAGCTTCTATGAAAAAAGAAGAGGAGGAAAAAAAATTGCAAACATGATATGTAGAAAGATACTCGATCGATTCACTTACTTGCATGTGTAAAAGACTTCACATTAGACCTGAAATTATGTCACCATCGTATTTTTCTACACTAGCTTTACTCCATGTCCCTTTGAAAGTAGCAGAATGAGGCATAGTGAAGACCATTAAGGCTACCATTTTGGGCATGCAAAGATCCATATCACCACCAGATGGCAGCAATAATATACAAAACAAGTAAGTCTTTACTGCCATCTACAGTCTTGGCCCTCCAGGTTTTTGCAGTTCAGATGCAGAACATTCTGTTTATATGTTTTGCTTTTAAGTTTAAAGAGTCAGTCTTGATTTTAAAAAAATATGTTGTAATAATTATTTTTCTAAAAATTAACACACACCCTATAAATTAATTATCTTTGGTCCAAAGCAACAGTGAGACTATATATTTGATTTTAAAAAGCAAAATGGTTATCCAGCAACATACACACAGATATACCCATACAAAAAAAGTATTGATTTAAAAAAAACAGATCAAAACATTAGAAGTAACAATATCAGCTATCACTGCTTTTAGCTAAAATATGTTTGCTTGGTAAAGATCACTGCACCATCTAAATCTCTTAACCAGCAATTCAGTCCAAGCTCAAATCTGTCACATTTTGTTTATGTCTGCTATTAAGATAATTTTGTTTCTTGTCCATCCTTTGTCCATTCCAAGCCTTTTTCTTCTTCCTTCTTTCTAACAACTCCCATCTGATCACTTACATTATTTGCAGACTTGCTAACCTTGTTCTAATAATCAATCTTTGCAGGCTCTTGTCCAGGTAATTCCACACTGACTTAAAGGCACACATTATATACATGTACGGTATAAATAATACTTCACTATCTGTAAGATACATATGCCATGTATGTGATGAATGGGACTGTAAAATACCAGGTGAATTCATGAATAAATTTGTTAGACTGTAGGTGGAGCAGGAACCTTTGTTTTTGTACCAAAAAAATGAATCGTATATGGAACATTTGGGTTCCTTCTGATTACAGAGATTTAAGGACACATTAGTTCTGGCACTAAGCGAAGCCAGACACTCAATTCCTTAAAGAGAAGAAAATACATGTTCCAGTAGGTAACCCTGTGAAACATTAATGAAAATGTGTTTCAAAAGTCTAAGTGGTATATATTTCTGACAGGTGAACTATATGATGATGTCATATATGACATATATATTTTATATATGAAGATATAAAAATGAAGATGGTGTTTTATTTACACGGTCATGAGCAATGGAAAAGATCATTCACTGTTACTGTAAAATTGAGAACATGTCTACTGCTGACATAAAAGTTCTAATTCTTACATCAACAGTTATATAATTATGTAAAAACCACAATGTTACGATCATATTTCCATGATAATATAGCTATATACTTTTACTGGGCTTGATCTTAACAACAATAAGGCATATTTCATTCCATTTATTACAGCTGGACTTTAAATGCCCTAAATAAGCACCATTGTGGTATTATACTTCAAAAGACATCCATACCATGCAATTTTACACACATCTACTCTGTATTAAGTGCCACAGAGTTTAATCAAAATTCAATTGCAAACAAATACATATAATATACGAATGCAGCCTCAACATATTGCGGTTCTCAAAATAAATCCTAAAGGTCTGATGATGATCGCAATATATTGAATGCTGGCATCCTATCCCATTTCTCCTTCCGAATTCCCCAAAGGAAGTGATGTCACAAGCTATGTAAACAATCTTTTAAAAAATCAAGAAAACCTTAAAATGCATATGCAATTTTAAAATCACGGTTGCATTCATTTTGTTAAAAAAAAATGCAAAGTTATAAAAACATACTAAGCTTTGTCAGAGGCATTCAAAACAGTCATTCACATTATTTTAAGTATAGTTTGAGGTACTGCTGGAACAAGAGAAGGCACCGTAGAAGCAGATTGATCGAGATGTACAGAATCAAAAAAGTCATATCCTGTTGGAGAATCTACTTTCCTATTGGAGAAAAAAAATGTATATAGATATAGCATTAGGCATAAATCCCCCCCTCCCAAAAAGTAGCTCTGCAGTAAATTATTTCAAATAGGAGGTCGTATATTTACAATCTTGTTTTCCCTTGTGTATTGATTGCTACTTTTGAGTAAGAAAGATGGATTAGTTAGCCAAAGTTTAACAACCTGGATAACCTATATACAGCATAGAATTATCTGAATTAATACATTTTCTTAGTTCTGAATCCCCCATTTGCTGTTTCATTTTCCTAAAGATACTGTATCTCTTAAAAATGGACCATGAATGCTAATAACTGCAGCAAATATTAAGAGATATGGGAATGCTTGGATAAAAAATGACATAAGGAATTCTATATACCATAACCAAAAGTCTTAACATCATTAAGGGAAACTATTTACTGTATATTAAAACAGTGCAACCCGCAAAGCATTGCTTTTTAAAGGAAACAAAACAGCCTGGAAAATTATATATTGTCTCTTTACTTGATTATCATTTTATATTAAATTAAATTTGAATTTAAAACCACGGCGGCCTACATTCTGAAAAGGCCCACTTACTTGAGCTTCCGTTCCGTAATGGGGAAGGACTCCGGCTTCTAGTTGTCTAAAAGACCAAAACAAAAAAAAAGATATTTTGATTCATCTCCATTCCTTTTACTCTAGAAAAAATGAATTACTGTTTTCAGGGAGGCCCCGCGAGCCAGATCTAAGTGCCCTGTGGACCAGATTCAGCCCCGAGGCCTTGAGTTTGACACCCCTGTGCTAGCTGGAGAGAGAAAGCATTTCTTTTTTTAATTCTAGAAAAAAAAAACATTTATTTGACATACATTTAAAACAGACAAATCAGCACACACACACACACACACACACACACACACACACACATATATATATATATACACATTCACATACACATACACATATATACATTTTACAGTGTATATTGAGCAATGGTTATTTTTTTGTCTTTATCATTGACGTGATCTGCCTTGTTACAATAACTCCTTCGTTCTTTTAATGTTTTAATTTCTCTATATTGTTTATAATTAAATGCACGTCTTCTGTCATTTCCATAACTTATCCAAATATCTAATATTACCTTTTCTTTAACCAATCATACCAAATGTTCCATATTTCATAATAGTCACTATCTTGTTTATTTTTTAACAATTTGGTTAGGCTATCCATCTCAGCGCATTCATGTATTTTTTTAAATTGCCATATCCTATGAAGGAATGGAAGACAGTTTCCAGTTTTGTGCATAGGTTATTCTGGCCGCAGTTATGATGTGGAAAATTAAATATTGATATTTTTGCTCCATGTTTAAATCTATCATACTTAGCAGAAAGGTTTCAGGTTCAAGTTTTAAATTTTGTTTTGTTATATTTAAAATCCAATTTCTAATATTTCTCCAAAACTTCTGAGTACATGGGCAAGTCCACCACATGCGGAGAGAAAGCATTTCTATGAGGCCATGAGGCCACGAAAGATTGTAAAAATGATTGTTGAAGGCCCACACATGTCAACCATTTTTCTATGCAACATCCTCATGACATTGCCTTTCCCGTATCCCAAACCATAGTGGAGGCAGCTTAAAGTGGCCTTTAGGTATTCCCCTTCCCCTTCCCCTTGTTTTTCCTTACCATTGAATTGTGTTGGCAAACCTCAGGTTTAGGATTAAGGACCACAAAGGGTTAGGCCAAAGGTCTTCAAACTTGGCAACTTTAAGACTGGTGGACTTCAACTCCCAGAATTCCTGAGCTGACATGACTGGAGGAGGAATTCTGGCAGTTGAAGTCCACAAGTCTTAAAGCTGTCAAGCTGGAAGACCCCTGGGTTAGGGGGTTGGGTTTCTCACCTGTTTTACAAGCAGAATCCCACCCATGCAGACAACTATGGGACTGAGGAAATGCAATAGTTCTGCACACATAATCAGAGTGTTTTGAACCATACCGCTTCCTTATTCCTCCATCCCATATTTTGAGTAGTCTTGTTTTTGTTATAATAATGATGATGATGATGATGACAACAACAAAACAACAATAATCATCATCATCATCATCCACCGAATACAGACAGATCACCATTTGGAAAACAACACGCCAGATATTATGGTTGTCAAGGGCCGAAGTGTACAATTTATTGATATCACTGTACCAGGAGATGCCAGAATTGTTGTGGTTTGCCAGCAGCAGGTGTGGACGGCTGAGGGCTTGGAGAGTGAGGACTTGGATGAGGGACCTGCATGTGATGCAGGGATGGGGCCAGGACTATCAGAGAGTGGAATGCTGCCTTCAGAGCTTGTGGAGGCTAGCAGCAGTGATGAAGAGGTCCCCGAGGAGCCTGTGCCCAGTGCACATGCGTGCAGGGCTGCTCGAAGGAAAGAGCAGCTGCAGCAGCACGGGCGACTTGGGAGTAAGCCTGGTGGACGTTCGGAGTATCTTGGTTGTTGATTGGAGACTCTTTGTGTTTGAAATATTTCTTAGTAACTTTATCTAGTGTTCTTGGCAGCCTTGCCCAACCTTGGCAAGGCTTGTTCTTATCAAAGACAATTAGTTTGAAACAGACTTAACCGTGAAGGAACGGAATTCATAAAGAATCATTAAAAGGTTGTGCTGTCACCTCTGTTTCATGTTTGTTTCCTTGGAACAAGGTTTGGGTCAGAACAAGAGTCGAAGAAAAAGAACTGGAAAAAAAATCACAAAATATCGCGACCTGGCCATCGAAACTACACGGTTATGGATGTAACATGTAACAGTAATACCCTTTGTCATTGGGGCACTTGGTACCATGTCCAAAATTTTTACAAAACACATCAAGAAATTGCAGTTTCCTGAAATAACGCCAGCGGAACTGCAAAAAAACTGTGCTACTTGGAACATTGTACATTTTAAGAAGATACTTGGTTGATACCTAGGATGCTGGCAGCCATCCATATCCACCATTAGCACCAGTCAATGGTATTTGTGATACATTTTCAAATGTTCAGTTGACTTAGTTTCATGTTTAAGGAATAAAAGAGATAATAATAACAATAACAATAATGATGTTGCCTTCAGTGCAAACTCCTGGGAACGCATCTTATTTTTGAACTACTATGTTAATCGGTTTATGTTACTTTACCAAATTCCGAGAGTAGGCTGTACTACGAGGCAGAGGGCTGACACTACGGCTGCGACTTTGGCTCCTGTTTCTGCTTCTGGACCACTGAAATAAAAAACAAACCATGAAATAGATCTCAGTTATGCAGGCATCCTTTTGATGAGTAGACTTTGCAGAAGGCAGGAGACTATTGTGGAAGAAAAGACTTATTCTGTTTTACTATGCTGCAGGATTAGGCAAATCTTATCCATATCAAGTGGGATTGAAAGTCCACAAAGTGGGACTGAAACAATCAAGAGGACGGCTTTGACTGTTAAATCAAAGCTCTGCCTATTTTTATGTGCTATCTTGACTTCTTTTGAGCCTACTCTCTGGACACCCCAGATGTCCCCCACCCAGATTGGCCATTGCTAATTGAACCCACATCTGGAACCAGTAAAGGTTGAGAAATACTGCTCGACCAACATCCTAGACTCCAATCCCAATCGTAGCATGCAAATGATCTGGAATTTCTCTCTGGCAAAGTGCTTTAAAATTTCAGCTTTCAGCTTTCAGCGGCTGAAATTTTAAATCTTATCGCTTCTGTAATCCAATTGATAAATTGTGCTTAACTAAGCTTTGCTGAATAACTCACAATTCATTGAATTCATACATGTTACCAAAGCAAATTTATAAACCCAAATATCTGAGTTTCAGATATTTTGGCTGAATATGTGTTACAGCTTAGCAGAGTGCCTGAACCCAGCATATATTATGTTTTTTTCCAAGCTGACAGCCACCAAATATGCTGAATTTCCCCATATCCAAGATTCCCAGCTTACATGGAATTCTGGGGTTTGAAATTTCTGTATGTCGACTTGAGTGTTTTTTTAGAGTGGTTTATGTGGGATTAGAGATTGGTTGATACCTTCAGCTGAAAGATCACTTAATTTTATAAATAGGCCGTTTTATTTTAATCAGCCATTGTTAATTCAGTTAATATTCATTTGTTTTTTGGTCCTGGGCTAGTTTTTCTTGGTGTGTGCTTTTTTGAAGATGCCTATCAGTATTGCATAAATGTGCAAGTACAGGTAGTCCTCAACTTATGACCACATCTGATCCCAAAATTTCATGTTGTTAAGTGAGACATTTGTTAAGTGAATTTTGTCCCCTTTTACGACCTTTCTTGCCTCAGTTGCTAAGCGAATGAATGAAGTTGATAAATTAGTAACCCAGGTGTTAAGTGAATTGACTTTGCTTGCCAGAAGGTCGCAAAAGATCACCTGATTGTGGAACACAGCAACGGTCATAAATATGAACCAGCTGCCAAGCACCTGAATTTTGATCATGGGGAGGCTGGAAAAGTCGTAACTCTGAAAAACAGTCATAAGTCATAACAACAGTGGTGGGACTCAACTCCGGATGGGGGGGAATGAGTCTGCCTATCGAGATGAGGTGGACCGGTTGCTTTCGTGGTGTGGAGACAATAACTTGGTCCTCAACACCAATAAGACCAAGGAGCTTATAGTGGATTATAGAAGGAACAGATCAGACATCCAGCCCTTGCTTATCAATGGAGACCGAGTGGAGCAAGTGGCCAGTCTTAAGTTTCTGGGTGTTACCCTAAAAGAGGACCTGACCTGGGGTGCCCACATTGCAGCCCTTGTCAAAAGGGCCCAGCAGAGATTATACTACCTGAGGCTTCTCGGGAAACAACAAGTGAATGAAAAACTGCTGGTGACCTTCTACCGCTGCACCATAGAGAGTATCTTAACTTACTGCACCTCTATATGGTTTGCCAATTGCACAGAGGCAGATAGGACAGCACTCCAGAGGGTTAACGTCATTGCCCAGAAGATCATGGGTTGCCCTCTCCCCTCTTTGGAAGAGCTTTATAGCTCCCGCTGCCTTAAGAAAGCTCAAAACATTCTCAAAGATCTCATCCTGGGCACCCTTTTTTTGAACTATTACCATCTGGCAGATGGTACAAAATAATCAAAACAAGGACAAAGAGGCTGAAAAACAGCTTCTATCTCAGGGCAGTAGCTCTGTTGAATTCTACTATATAGTACAGTGTTGGTGCGGTGTCGGGGGTTTTCAATTCAATGTGTGGAGGGTGAAGGATGTGTGTTTGTGTTTATTTTCATGGTCATGATGTGCACTGAAGATGGTGTTTGATTTCGTTGTACGAGGTGCAGTGACAATAAAGTAAACTAAACTAAGTCACTTTTTTTCAGTGCCATTGTAACTTTGAACAGTCACTGAACTGCTGTAACTCAAGGTCTACCTGTACGCAGACACATTAAGCGGGGAGGTAAAAGTAGACTGGAAAGGAGGAACATTGCTGGGACTTCTGTGTGAGTTGTCATCTTTTTCAGTCTAACTCTTCCTTATGTGATTGTTTTTTTATATCCCAGACTGTTTTCCTTTGGAGCAAATATGGCTCAATGATAAATTAAGTTCTATATCATAACGATAAGCAGCCATCATGATTCTTTTTTTTCCCCTAATCATCCCTTTCAGAACCTCCTATTTTAATACCATGTGTGGCACATGGCACCCAACGGAGAGCTCTCAGCCTCTATGCATCTGTAGAGATTCTCTGTCCTCCAGGTCACGGTTGCCCCAAAGGTGCTATTTTTTTGTTTCCTCAGGAGGCAACTGGACTTTCTTGTTTTTTTTCTTTCGAAGACGTTTCGCTTCTCATCTCCTTCAGCTCTGACAGGATAGTCCTTCAATTCCCCACTATCCTGTGTCATGCCTCTGTCAGAGTCTGACTCGGAGAGGAAGACGAACAGCTGACAGGGAGTGGGAGGGTGGCTCCGTTGGCTGTGATGGAAACTGGGCAAGGGCAAAGTTCAGCTGGGCAGAGCAGGGGAGAGGTAGAACAAGGGAGAGGGAGTTCAGAGGAAGACCCAGGCCCACCCCCTCTTCATCCTAGGGCACGCAGGGAGGAACGAAGAGAGCAAGGTAGGTTGTGTGGCTTACGGGGGAGGAAAGGGCCCTGATTCCCTTCATTAGCCACAGCTGGGAAGAGAGTTTAAAAGAAATGCATGCTGAGTGCGGCAGCTGCTGGGAGCAAACGTGACTTTATCTTGTGTTGACTTTGGTTATCTGTGTTCCTGGCGTCTTTCCAATCATGTTGAGTTATTGCCATGCCTTCACATCTGGAATTCTTGCTCCTGCCCTGCTGGACTAATTACCTCATTTTGCTTTGATAGGACTTATAGTTACAGTTTTTGTTGACCACGTTTTGGACTTGATTCTCTGCAGCCAAAGGCTGTTCCCGGGAGAGTTTTTCTCCAGCTGGAAGGTAACCAAGACATTGGGGGGCAAAGTTGGAGCTAATAAAGGGACTCCTACTGATTGTCTGACTGTGTTCCCTTTGTGCCACGCCCTGGGTCATCACATCCTGTCAGAGCTGAAGAAGCGAATCGTCTTTGAAAGAAAAAAACAAGAAAGTCCAATTGCCCCCTGAGGGGGAAAAAAAAAGCACCTTGGGGAATCTCAGCCTCTGTGTTCAAACATTTTAAAAGCCTACCAGAGCACCTCTTTTAGTTACGGCCTCTCCCTTCACAATCACTGAGTCCTCTTCCATGAGAGCTGGCCAGACATGATAAGCCACCAGTGGAGCTGTAAAATCGGAATCATAGCTGCGACGGTACCTAATCAGACACAAAAGAAATTCAGTTACAACTGAGGTTACAAGTAGGAGTTTCCCTCACGACCATCACCTGCCCATCTCGTCTTTCCCCAGGGCACTCAGAACAATTCTCATATTTACTCTGGCACGAGGACTAAAGGAATATCGCCAGATGACGCCTGCAATAAAATGTTGAATTTTTCCTTGTACACAAGCACGGAAGACATGAAGAATGGCTTGACAGACAGGAAGAAGAGCTGCTAACAAGACAGTGATCAGATAAGTGGAGCTTAAGGTTGAGCCAAAGCAGAGGCGGCATTCATCAGGTTCTGACCGTTTCTGGAGAACCTGTAGCAGAAATTTGGAGTAATTCAGAGAACCAGCAAATACCACCTCTGACTGGCCCCGCCCCCATCTATTCTCTGCCTCCCGAGTCCCAGCTGATTCGCTGGGTCTTCTTTTGTTGTCCTGCACAGGAGAACAGAGCTGGAAAGCAGGTTATGGGGGAGGGGAGGGAATGGGGATTTTGCAGTAACCTTCCTCCAGAATTGGGGAGGGAATGGAGATTTTACAGTATCCTTCCCTTGCCATGCCCACCAAGCCACACCCACCAAGCCACGCCATTCCCATAGAACTGGTAGTAACAAAATTTTGAATACCACCACTGAGCCAAAGCAATAACTTGAGGAACACCTCACACAAGCTCACATGAAGACTCTGTTCCTATAGCTGTTGCAATAAAAGCAATCCTGACCTATATTTTATTCATCTGGTCTATCTTGTAACAAGCGTAGAACATAGCATGCCAAAATTCTATCTTCTTGGTGTTATGACATGCCCTAAAATAAATAACATGCAGAAGTAACAGAATAATCGAGTTGGAAGAGACCTTGTAGGTCTTCTAATCCAACTTCTGCTCAAGTAGGCGACCCTATATTCTTCCAGACAAAATCTCTTCTTAAAAACCTTCAGTGATGAGGCATCCACAACATCTGAAGGCAAGCCGTTCCACTGGTTAATTGTTCTCGCTGTCAGGAAAATTATCATTAGTTCTGATTGCTTCTCACCTTGATTAGTTTTTATCCATTGTTTCTTGTCCTGCCTTCTAGTGCTTTAGCAAATTGGATGACACCCCCCCCCCACTCCTCTTTGTGGCAGTCCCTCAAATATTGGAACACTGCTACGTCACCCCTGGTCCTTCTTTCCACCAGACTAGACATAACCAATTCCTGCAACTGTTCTTCATATGTTTTCGCCTCCAGTCTCTAATCATCTTTGTTCTTCTTTTTTGCATTCTTTCCAGGGTCTCAACATCTTTATCATATTGTGGCGACCAAAACTGGATGCAGTATTCCAAGTGTGGTCTTACCAAAGCATTATAAAGTGGTAGCATCACTTCTCGGGATCTTGATTCTATCCCAGCTTAGGATTGCATTGGCTTTTTTGGCAGCTGCAGCACACTGCTGGCTTATCTTTAAGAGATTGTCCACTAGGACTGTCACAAGATCTCTTTTACAATGACTGGTAGTATTGAGCCAGGCTCCACCTATTCTATACCTGTACATTTTGTTTTTCTTGCCTGTGTAAAACCTTACTTTTCTCATCATTGAATTTTATTTTGTTAGAAAGTGTTCAAGTCTGTCGAGATCCTTCTGCATCTTTTCTTAAATAATTTTTTTATTAATATATAAATAAAAAGAAAGAGCAATGTGTTCAAAATCCATATATACGGTATGTTGCCTAGTTACATTTCTTGGAGTAATATTTGTCATAATCATAATAGTCTTCTCTAATGATAAGTTCATGATAACAGTGCTTTTCCCTCATAACATTGATACATATTGATTAGTAAAACTAATCAAAATTAATCACAATTAATAAATTACAATACAGAGCCCTGATCGTGAGATTAATTTTTCTCTTGTAATCTTCGAATTTCTAACTCGTTTCTCTTATTGAACCAATGATAGAACAGATCCCATACCTCAAAATATCTGCCTTTTCTTTAATTTCAAATGTTAATTTATTCATTTCTGCACATTCTAACATTTTTGTTATTATCTTTTCTTCTGTGGGGATCTCCTCGCCCTTCCAATGTTGTGCGAACACAATTCTGGCCGCTGTCAACACATGTATTATTAAATATGCAATTTCTTTTACTATATTTATCCGGTTTGATGCCCAACAGGAATATTTCCGGTTTTAAATCTATCCTTCTGGATCTTGAGCCTGTCTTCTGAGACACTGGCTATTCCTGCCCATTTATTGTCATCTGCAAATTTGATGAGTTCCCCTTCAGTTCCCTCATCAAAACTGTTTATGAGGATGTTGAAGAATGCTGAGCCTAAAACAGAACCTTGGAGTACCCCATTGTTTACTTCCCTCCATGTAAATGCAGTTTCCTACACATTGAGTGCAGTGTTTAATTCATCGTGTCTCCATTCAGGGAGGTGGATGTGTCTCTGCCTCTTTTTGCTTTTTTAAAAATTAGGAATGTAAACATGTATACTTCATTTCCCTTACTTGTACTCGCTGAACAGCTCTCCATCTGTACCAAAAGAAACATCAAGGGGAGGATCTAGAGTCTGCATGGAAAAAGCTATCCGGCATAACTCCCGTATCAAACTACTGATTATGATGAAATCAACTCCTGGAAGAGAAATCTTAGGACTGATGTTCAGTGCACGGATGACTTCCTGAAAGCATATAAAAATATGTGTGGTTATTTCCTAGAGAAAAAAATAATTGGAAATTCCCAACCCACCTCTGTCAAAAAAAAAAAGAGTACCAAATGGAGATAGGCCATTTGAAACTAGAACACAAAATGACAGAATGACCAGGTTAAGACCAAGGGGCTTCCTAAAATTCTTCTTTTTTCCCCTTCCAAAATCACATCAACATACTGGCATCCATCACATACCACGGTGCAATACTTTACATTTAACTTGACCAAATGAGTGAAGTTGTTTACTATGCATTATTTCACTAAAAATTTATTTTAGGGGTTGACTTAAAAGATTTTTGGCTGCCGCAGTTATACAGTGGGAGAGGCCATGGAGTCAAACATAATTAGGAATAGAGATGTTTTCAGAGGTATCTGAGGGGGTCAAAAAAGACAAGATGGCAGCCATGACCACAGAACTGAAGCCCTGCCCCCTTTCTAATGCAATCCTAAGCAGTGGTGGGATTCTACCGGTTTAACAACTGGTTCGGTGAGCGCACGCAGTGTTCGCAAACCACCAATTTACAACTCTAAAACTTACCTACTACAGCGCCAATGAGTAAAACAGCTGAGGCGCAGCAATCCGCTTTGCTGCGCCTCAGCTGAGCTGCAAAACATGGAAATATTGGACAGACTAGAGCAGGGACAGGTGGGCGGGGCTAACCGATCGTCGTTTGGCTGCCATCTTGCTTTTTTGACCTCCCCTCTTCCAAACACTCCTAGATATTTTCATCACATTTTCATAGTACTCAAACTGTATTTTATTGGAAGCAAAGCATAATCATTGTTAATTAATCCTCAGCAAAGAGCCATATAATATCAAATGTCATTATGGAATGTATCACAAGCAACACCAATAACAGAATTAACCTTACTGAGGTCCTGTTAAATAGTATTTTATCACCTGCCTAAGATACAGATTTAGAGGCATACTGATCCCAGAGATCTCATTGCTTAACATTTAGACTTGGTGGATTTATCAGGTTCTCATAACACCTTTGAGATATAATCACTGGTGGATACTTCTTCCCCACAGACCAAGCTGATGGCCAATGGAAGAAACCCAAAGGTGCTTTTTTTTCAAGAGGCAACTGGACTTTCTAGTTTTTCTTTAAAGATGTTTTGCTTCTCATCCAAGAAGCTTCTTCAGCTCTGATGGTGGGGAAGGGAACACAGAGAAATCTCCAGGCGGCCTCAACGTCTCGCTAAGAGAATGCAAATGACCAACTGTCTGTAAGGCGTATAAATCCTTCCATTCCCCACCATCCAGTCAGAGCTGAAAAAGCTTCTTGGATGAGAAATGTCATTTAAAATAAACCCAGAAAGTCCAGGTGCCTCTTGAAAAAAAGCACCTTTGGGACAACCTTGACTGATCTCCATAGACAATGTAAGGAACCATTTCATTAGGCTCCCTCCTGCCACAACTTCTCCACTAAACTGCTGTATTTGAACTCTCCTTTGTTTACATAAGAGCTCTGAGGAATGAGACTGGAGGGAATCTTGCCTCAGTTGGAAGAAAGTTCCGGGAAAGACGGTGGGACAATGTGTCTAAAGTCTTGGATTCAGTATTGTACATTATCTGGATCCCTCTTTAGATTGGTTTTAAATGTAATCCAGGACAGACAGAAAAAAAATATTAGTTACTCTTGTGGAAAATCCGATTAGGTACCACCGGCCCTGATGTTTTTCAACATCTAAATGGAACTGCTAGACAAGGAAATCCATCAGTTTGGGAGATATACCAGCAGCATGATGATATCCAATTATAGCCCAGACTACCATTCAGATGCTTCGCCAGGATTCATAGCTTCTGGTTAGAAATCATCAGGTGGAACCATGGCTGGGAGAGATTTTTGTCGGCCTTGTCTGATACACCAATTGTGGCTCTTCTCAGAAAAAAATATCCTGGCAATAATGACTCATGCTCTCAACAATAAGGTTGGAATACTGTAAAATACCAACGTAAAATACTGTAAAACGTGCCTACCGTCCCTGTCCTATTGTTTCTTTTATATATTTTTTTATTTTTCTTATATGTATCCATGTATTCATAACAATGTTTTTACTTATACCTATTATCTTGTAAGCGATTGACAAATAAAAATAAAATAAAAAATAAATAAAATGATCTGTGTGGAACTGACTTTGTAGATTACTTTGAAGATGCAGTTTATGAAAGCAGCAGCGATTTTATTAAGCAGTATAACTTTGTCACAGACTTACACTGACGCTGGACTGAACATCATAGAGATCTTCCTGACGAATTATATAGTCCATCACCATATCTTCAAGTGGTTCAGGCCCTGAATAACTGAGGGTCAGTGTCTTTCTAACGCGCATTTTGAACTGTCTGAAGGCCTTCTTTGCTGCATAGAAGGACTCCTGCAAACAAGAGAAGAGCAATTAAATTTAGATGCCCAGCCAACATAGACAATAGAATCTTGTGATAAAATAGCCTATCCAGTTGTTAATCTATGCTATTTTAAACTCTGTTAAGCTGATGCGATGCTTTAAAAATTCTGATTATGAATATAAAAAATATATACAAAAACATATATCCAACCCCATCCCATCCAATCAAACATCACTCAAAACTAGGCATGCATGCCCCTAACTACCTCTATTCCAACCACAACTGGCCTTAAATGCAAGCTACTCAGTGCAAGAAGCCTTGTAAATAAAATACCTGAATTTCTCCTCTTACTAAATACAGCTAAATTTGACATTATATTTGTCTGTGAAACATGGCTCAACACATAGCTCTCCCTGACTCCATTACCACAGTAAGAGACTATCATGTTTACCGATCAGATCATGAAATCCGTAGAGGAGGTGATGTTACTATCTTCTATAAAAAGTCCCTACATCTAAAAAACATCCAAGTTACTTACTATTCCTGAAACCATTGTCTGTGAACTGTCCTTAAATATCACATTTTGGTTCTTACTATGTTACAGAGCCCCTGATTATGACATTGAACATGTGAACAAGCTAAATATGGGCAGCATCCTGCCAACACGCTTTTATCTTTCTTGGTGACTTCAATCTACCTCATATTAATTGGACCCTTAACGAATGTACAACTGAACCCACACATGCAACCTTCTACAATGCAGTAACAAATCTGGGACTAGAACAACTAGTAACCAACAACACTAGACTTAACAACTGCCTCGATCTCATCTTCTGCAATAGTTTGAATTCAATTTACGGAATACAAACTAAAGAACCCTTTTCCAACAGTGACCACAACATGATTGACTTTGGTCTCAACATACGTCCATACAAAAATCATCAATTATAACTTCAAAAAAGGCAACTATGATCTTATAAACAACGATCTCTCATCCCTTGATTGGCAATTTCTATTCACTGGATGCAATACTGTAGAAGACCAGACAACATATTTTTACTTGAAGTCAAGAGTCATCAAACTATATGTACCATTAACAACTCCCCAAACCAGAAAAAACAAATTACCCAAAACAATAAGGAAGCTTCAATCCAAAAAGAAATCACTTTGGCGGAGAAACAAATCTGGTTACGTTGCCAACTTCAAAAGCCAATACAAAAATTTATGCCACCAGATAAAAACTCAATGCACCAATTATCACATTAAACAAGAAGAAAACCTTCTAGGCACCAATTCCACCCGCACTTTCTACAATTTTGTAAACAACAAACTAAAAGACTCAAGGTTCATCCCACCCCTGAAAGGACCTAATGGCAAAGACTGCAATGACGACACTATTAAAGTCAACCTCTTTAACACATTCTTTGGCTCAGTATTTGTAAACAGCAATGGATCATGCCCAGTATTTCCTAGTCAAACAACAGACAACTACAATGATCTAATACATATCGATTTTACAGAAGACATTGTTGAAAAAGCACTACGCAATGTAAAACCATCTCTATCTATTGGACCAGATGGAATATGTGCCTATTTCTTAAAAAAGCTACCCACTGCCATAGCTAAACCTCTAAGCATAATCTTTGAAAAATCTTTCAGGACCAGCTCCTTGCCTAACCTATGGTCACAAGCCACAGTCATCCCCATCTTCAAAAAGGGAGACCCCAGCCTAGTTGAAAATTACAGACCAATCTGTTTATGCTGCGTCACCTGTAAAGTTATGGAATCAATTATTAACCAATCCATCATCCTCCACTTAGAAAGAAACAACCTACTCTCTAATAAACAATTTGGTTTTAGGAAAAAACTATCCTGTAATCTGCAACTCTTACATTGCAAAAACATATGGACTACACCAGGGGTCCCCAACCACCGGGCCCTGGACCAGTACTGAGCCGTGGATCACTTTGTACCGGGCCGCAAAGAAATAAAAACAAAAAATAAAATAAAAATGGCGGCTTTCTTCGCTTTCGGTGAATGCTGCTGGGATCAGGGATCAAGAACACAAAGGAGAGAAGGGGAGGGAGGAAGCAACCAAAGCCTGTCCTGCTCTCCAGCTCAGCAGCTTCAGTTTCCTCCCGCCTCGTTCCTCCCTCAGTCGCTCTCTCGCTCCTCTACCAGCCCAGGAAGAAACTGCTTCAAAGAAGCTGGCAGGGTGGCTTCCTGTCGGCGCAGCTCCTCCAAAGCACCCGTTCACCCCCACCCAGCCACCCGTGGTTTAATCCAGTGCTCCGTTCTGCCTGCCTGCCTGCCTGCCTTCGTTTCTGGTTGTTTCAGAGCAGCTTTGGCTGAGAATAATAACTGTTCGCCTCTTTTTCTCAGCCGAAGCTGCTCCGAAACAACCAGAAACGAAGGCAGGCAGGCAGAACGGAGCACTGGATTGAACCGCGGGTGGCTGTGTGGGGGTGAACGGCCGCTTCGGAGGAGCTGCACCGACAGGAAGCCACCCTGCCGGCTTCTTTGAAGCAGTTTCTTCCTGGGCTGGTGGAGGAGCGAGAGAGCGACTGAGAGAGGAACGAGGCAGACACCTGAGGTATGAGGCTGAGGGAGGGAGGCAGACACCTGAGGGATGAGGCTGAGGAAGGCAGGGCCGAGAGGTGGAGCTTCTCAGCCGTCCTGCAGGGACTTGTCCTGAGCCGTGGGCCGCCACCGCCCAGCGCTCAGTTTTGAAGGCGCTCCTCAGCCAGGCGCAGTTCCTGAATCTGCAGCTGAAACCCTCCGTTTTAAATGTCCCAATAGAAGAGAATACCTGTCGCTCAGGGTTGCAATGAGGAGGCATTGGCGCTCCCTGAACTTGGTGGTTTGCTGGCAGACGTTTTATTACCTGACTAGGTAACAACATCAGATGTTACCTA